GACTGGAGATCGAACCCAGAACCTTGGCGAGTCGGGAGGATGCTCTAACCAACGGAGCTCCCCAGCCAGGCCACAGATGGCGGGTTTGCTGCCACTGTTCTATTTTTGACTTGGAAAGGTCGGAGGCAGTTCCGGGACTAGCTGGAGACACTCGGGATGTTGTGAAACCCAATCTGGGAGCAAGTTCCTCTCCCTGCTGTGAGTGTGGCAACCCCAGGCCTCATCCCCTGCATTTCTCACGCTCTGGGCAAATGTCTAGAAATTGAGGATTTCAAAACAAAAAGGACTGCAGTCCCAGGTGGGTGCTGGGAAGGGACTGGCCAGCTGGGAGAGTGGGAGTTTCCGTGACGGCGTCCTAGGAAGAGAAGAAAGCCCCGAGCACTTGGCTGTCCATCCTGGCTATCTGAGGCTGCCTTCCACAGTCCAGCCGAGACCGAGCCCCTCTCTGCAATACTGCTGTGTGACCTCTAGGAGTCACTTAACCTCTCTGAGCTTCTCTGGTAGAACGGGGCTATTATGATCCAACAGGCAGGGTCTGTGTGGAAAATAAGATAACGGGGAAGTTGTAGAACTACTTGTGCCCAGGAGAGGGCTGAGACCTGTGCCCCAGGCGGGGTGGGTGCAGGGAGCGTGAGGAGGAGGCCTGACTGCCCAGCCTCCCCAGCCTCAGGCCCAGAGAGAAGATGGAGGAGGGGTTGGGCTGACACATTACCTCTGCCCTTGCCAGCTGCTGGGAAAGGGACAGTGTCGGCTCCAGCAGGCACCCGGCCCAGCCCCAGCGGCCCAAAGGTCACGGGTATTCTGGGAAAAAACTCATCCACCCTCCCAGGCTCTTGCCCTCCAGCCTACAGGTCTGTTCTATGTGTCCAACCCCACCCCACGTGAATCGGGACTGCCCCGGACTCATCTGGAAACCACCTCCATCTCCACCAGGCACTGCTGGGGTTGTCACACATATCTGGATCCTTACAGCGGTCCAGCTCACCAGGAAAAGGCTCAGAGATGGGAAGTCACTTGCCCAAGGTCTCAGAGCTCTCCGAGAGGTGCCAGGTCCCAAGGCCAAGCTCTTTTCCCCAATGCCAGGCAATTCACACAAAGGTCCTGTAATCCGATGACAGCCCCATGGCACACTTTGCCTCTGCATCCTTGTACTCGAGGCCTGAAATTCTCTTGGCTGTTCCCTGGCAAACTCCTACTCATCCCTCAAGACAGGCTCAACGTCTCCACCCTCACTGCCTCCCCGAAGCCCCAGCTCAGAGTCACTGCTGCCTCCAAAGCCACAGCCCCGCTGTCCAATGACTCTAACTGTGGGCTGAGCCCAGGGGAAGGAGTGATCACTTTCCATGCCCAGCCTGCCAGCTAGGCTGAGCCACCAGCCTGGCACTTACAGGTTCTCAGCAGAGGCTTGCGGCCCTCCCAGCCTGGGCTCCTCCGGGGAGGGGGGGGGGGGGGGGGGGGTGACTCTGCAGGGCCGGAAGCCCCACTGCTCTTTGAGGAGGGTCCTCTTCTCCCTGCCCCTCTTTGCTCCTAGGTAGCTCTGCAGAGACCTGCTAGATCAGGCAAACAGAGGGTCAGAGAGAAGTGAGTCCAGAAAGTCGGAGACCAGACCAGGCCCACCCATTTCCTCATGTTCTAGAATCTAGACTCTCAGTTTCACTTGGATATTCACTTCCCCAGCAGCAGCTGCTCAACAAGACACAGATTAAGGACAGGGGGTGGAGGAGGCAGAAGAGAGGGGGAGAGGGGGGACAGAGGCTCCTGGCCCACTTACTCTAAGCACATTTGGAACAGACAGGAGAGAAACAGGGACACACCAGCACTGGCACTGACCGGGAGGCGTTCCAGGCTGGACAGAGGGCTTAGGGAAGCCAGGGCCCTACCATAGACCACAGCCTCTCCATCCCAGGGTGGTCTGGGGAGCTGCTGTACCAACAGCTAACCTTTGTCAAGCCCTAAGAGCCGGGCAGTGACACACCCAGCGCGGGGAGGTGCCAGCCATATTCCCTGGGTGCAAAGAGGAGTGAGTTGTCCGTGGAGAATTTCAAAGCAATAATAAGACACACGAAAAGTCAGTCTCCTGTTTATCATCTCCACATGCTGACAATTTTAAAGACCATCAGCGATAAAATACAACTCTCCCCAAAGCGATTTTGTCACTCTAAGTTTTTATTTCTGCAGATTTAAGTTGTATTTCTGAGATTTAATAATATAGATGTGAGCCTCAAGCTAGCCTGTTTTTATTTCTTATTCTTTGAAACCCTGTCCTCGACATGGAAGTTTAATCAGAGCACCCAGTTAGACCAGCGGTTCTCAACCTGTGGGTCGCGACCCCTCTGGCGGTCGAACAACCCTTTCACAGGGGTCGCCTAAGACCATCCTGCATATCAGATATTTCCATGACGATTCATCACAGTAGCAACATGACAGTTATGAAGTAGCAACGAAAATACTTTTATGGTTGGGTCACAACATGAGGAACTGTATTTAAAGGGCCAGAAGGTTGAGAACCACTGGGTTAGACAGTCAGCCCCCAGCACACACTCAGCTACACCTGTCTGTCCCAAAGGTAATTTCCCCAACAGCCCAGCAGGGTCCGAGCTCCCTTTTGACAGGGTTTGTGTCGCCAACATCTTCCTGTGCTGAAACAAGACAAAAGAGGCTGCTTGCCCAGTGCCCCAAGAACCCAAACGGAAGTGTTTGAAAGCCTGGATCATTTCCACCAAGAACTAGATTCTCATTTGAAAGCAACGGATTAAACAAGTGTCTCCATCACTCAACCATCTCCTCTGATTTTTGCAGGAAAAAAAAAAACACATGGGAGAATTTTGCCAAATAAGATAAAAACTTATGATGATTTTTCTGGTGAAGATGTTTTAGTAAAAATGTTTCAAATGTGGAGGTATTTAAGAGCCACCAGATTTGATTTTTCAGAAGATATAGGCAGTATTGCAATTTCTGGAGTGTATTATGAAACGGGGTTTTTAATGAATCTCTGACAAACTTACCCTAATGTTTATGGCCTTTCCTATTTGTATATCTGTTGTTTCATATGAGAGAAGCTTTTGAAATTAAAATTAATAAAAAGTGTTCTTCAATCAACTGTGAGCAATGATGAGCTGACAAGTTAGGTCTACTGAGTTGTGAACATTAATAAGCAAAGAATAATTTTTAAAATCTCTTTAAGGAGAACAACTTTGACAAAGTCATGGGCAATTTTTCAGAAGTTAAAGTTCCAAAACTGAAACTGTAATGTTAATTCCTTCCTGTGACCAACCTGTATGTAAGGATAACTTTTTTTCCAAAAATACGTTAAAGCAATTGGAACCTATCAAGTAATCCATTACTTTTTCCTATTTTTCTCTATAACATTTACTTTTCACTTTTTTATTTTTTCACTGGCATGCGTTCATATACAAAGCTCCATAAAAGAAAAGTTTTACTGTTTATTATGACTATTCATTATTATTATTCATTTCATTATTATTACTGAAAACAATGTTGTCAGATGAAGGAGAGGGATATTTAAAAATGACCACCCCAGGTATCAAATATGCCAGGTGCCCCCAGGCACTTGTGACGCTGTTTAATAATAATAATAAATCACAATCACAGTAGAGAATTGCGGTTGCGCACTTCACGTGTGTGCAAAGCACTGTTCTGAGCACTTCCTCAGTCTTAAGTCATAAGATCTTCACCCGAGAAACAGAATGGATTTGAAACTTGGCCCAAGTTCCACAGCCAGGGGCTCGGGAACAGGTCCCGGGCGGGTCTGCCCCCCAGGCTGCGCTGGGCTCTCTCTGCAGCCAGAAGGGCCAAGTCGGAGGGAAGCATTTGCTAAGCGCCTTTCTGACCCCTGAGCCGCATCACAGGTTAGAGAAAAAGTGCAAGCTGGGCAGTCGCTGGCAGGGCGGTCAGGGGCGCATCAGCGGAGACCAGAAAAAGCCACTGTGATCAGACCCCAGCGGCACCTGGGGCCCCAGGTCCAGCCCCGGGAGCCAATGCAGGGGTCTGGCCTTTGAGGGGCAAGGCGCCCCTGGCTGCGCCCCCCTCTTCCTGCAGGACCTGCCTTCCCCGGGGTCCATGCAAGTTCAAACACTGAGACAACCCCAGCAGGTGCCTGCTGCCCACACCTGACACCCGATGCCAGGGCGGGTGGAGGTGTGGCCTCTGACGTCAGAACTCGGGGAGTCACCACTAAAACACGGCCCGGCCCAGCCCCCGCTGCCCCACACTTACAATGGGCGCCCGCATCTTCTCTCCTGCTGTGGACCCTCAGCTGCGGGCTGGAGTTTGCTTTGTCCGCTGCGTGAGTGCCTGGGGCAGGGGGGGCAGGGGGAGCAGGGGTTCATGACGTCAGCAACAGGTAACGGCGACCCCACGATCCCAGGGGGGACAGCGGCTCCCGGCAGGGAGACCAGACCGTGCAGCCGGTCTCTGATCCTCCCGGGAACCACCGGCTCCCCCCCCCCCATAGGGGTCCCTCGCTTGCCTCCTCCCTGCCCTGTGGAAGGACGAACCCCCTGAAGGGACAGAGGGGTCCACCGGAGACCTGGGAGGCAGGGGCGCAGCTGCAGGAGCGCGATAGGGTCGCCTGCCAGGCGGCCGCGCCCCAACTGTCAGCTGCGCCACCGGCGGAGGTGCTGGGAGGCGGCCGCTGCTCCCTAACTTGTGGGCCCTGCCGCGCCCAACTTCTCCATCTCCCACCCGACCGACCGGAGAGCCACCCCCACTCCTCACCCTTCCTGAGTCCGGGAAGGAACCGCCCCACCCACCTCGCGGACAGACGGACGGACGGACGGACGGCCGTGGGAGGCTGCGAGGCTGCAGGCTGCGAGGCCGGGGCTGCGGCGGCACAGGGACGGGGTTTAAAGGCCTCAGTCCCGCCCAGCGTGAGGTCACCAGCCCTTCCCAGAGCCACCGGCTAATGAGCGCCTCGCCGAGCCTCCTGCCCGCGACAGGGACCGCCTGCTCCCGCCTCCGCCTCCGCCTCCGCCCGGCAGGTCTGGATGCCTCCGGCGCATCGACCCTCCCCGTCCCTGCTCGCTCCTCCACCCGGAGGCACCCACTGAGCCGCCCCTCCTCACCTCGTCCACACACGCGCTGCGCTGCAGGGAGTCCAACGTTCAAGAACAGAGCTGCTGTATACGCGATCCCTGTGTACACATCACACTGGAATGTAAGCAATTTATCTCCTCCTCTAGAGCCGGCTTATAGTTCAAACCTCTATTGAATTTTTTTAAAATATATATTTTATTGATTTTTTTACAGAGAGGAAGGGAGAGGGATAGAGAGTTAGAAACATCGATGAGAGAGAAACATCGATCAGCTGCCTCCTGCACACACCCTACTGGGGATGTGCCCGCAACCAAGGCACATGCCCTTGACTGGAATCGAACCCGGGACCCTTGAGTCCGCAGGCCGACACTCTATCCACTGAGCCAAACCGGCCAGGGCCCTCTATTGAATTTTAAAGATATTAGAAGACAAGGGTCTAGCAGAGGGAAAGTACTTTTAACTATTGGGTCTTAAGTCACCAGATATACCCCCAAACCTGGCACACAGTAGGCATCCCATGAATGAATGAATGAAATGAATGACCAAACATAGGTCCTTTCTCACAATGGGCTGTGACTCCACAAGAATAGAACCAGCTCCTGTCCATCTCCATGTTACCATCACGCCCCACTCCCAGCCTTGGAATCAGGATGCCTGGGCCACACCCTGGCCCTGTCACTTGCTAGCTATAGGATCCAGGCACCCTTCCCTGAGCCTCAGTTTGTTCATCCGTAAAATGGGGTGATGACGATCCTATACAACATGTAAGATAATATATAAAACTACATCCCCAGAGGGAGAGCAACAAATGGAATGATGCTTATAAAGTGCCGGGCACGTGGCAAATCATGTTATTAGCATGAGGTAAGGTATATGCTATCAGCTTTACACATTATTCACCAGCGTCCGGGCAGGGAGAGTCACAGGCAACGTAATACCAGAGCTTCCTGCGCGTTAACACTCATACAACAAAGCGCTGTGCACGTGGAGCCAGTGAGCAGCTGGAAGGCAGTCCAGACCCAGGAAGCAGAGGTTCGGTTGGGAGGAAACCAGACTGCTTTCTGCCTCTCCTTACTCTCTGCTCCCAGAGTTGCTCAAACGTCACATCTTTTTTTTTCCCTGTCCTATTCCTGTGCCAAGAAAAACAAAATGAAAAACATCGGAGGGGCAGGGACGTCAGGGTTCTATATTGTTACTTTCCAAGCAGCTCTCCGAGGGGGAGCTCTGTAAGGAAGGCCCCAGGCGATGCCAGCACCGCCAGCAGGACCATCCTCAACCCCATTCTGCTCTGTGAGCACCGAACTGGGGGGCCGCCGCCAGGATCCAGCTGTCACCTGCCTCCGGGCTTCTCTGCGATGGGCCCTGTGGAGAGGCACGCGTTAATCATTTGCCATCTCTCCCCGTTGTCTGCCTTCTGAGGAGGAGGAGGGCTCCTCCCAAGATTGTTTTGTGAGTCTCCGAGGAAGGAATAGCTGAGAAGTAGGAGAAAATGGCACAAGGCTGAATAGCGTGTGGGGATTCTTTTCTTTCTTTTTTTTCACTTGTGAGCGTTTAATGAACTTCCGTCCATGTGGCTTCAAGCTACCAGCACGCTGGCCCCCACAACACCGTCTTCTCCTCAGTCTTCTGCTGATGAACTTGGCCTTCACCGTGACAGGCTGCTTGGGGAGCCACCCCTTCCCCAGACTCCGTAGTAGCCCGACCGCACCACGTCAGTGATGGGAGCGGCTACCGTCTTGTCTTTGGCAGCATTTACCTGTCTGCTCACTGACCGAGGTCCACAGGTGACCGAGGCTGACAGTGGGGAAGAAGTCTGGGTCCCCTTAAGTGGCCATGCCTCACACCAACTTCCCCCAAGGAACCTGGGCGGTATTTGTCGGAGCTGATCTTGTGACGATGCAAATCACCAGCATTACCTCAGCCCCTGGGTGCTTGCCGACGTGGCCAGGGCCGTGGCTCACGTGGCCCTGAAGTTTCCGGGTCTTCCTTAGTCTGGCGGGCATGCCATGGCCAAGATGCCCCATGTGGGGATTCTGAGCACGTAGGTAGGAGTGGAAGCGAGGCCAGGGCTGAGGAAAGGGGGTGAGGTGAGGGGCAGGCAACAGCATTTACGGGAAGCTGTTTGCGATGCTTCTGTACACACAGGAGCAGAAGCATGGGATCGTTTTGTGGCAACATGAGGGTTTGTGTTGCTAACAGCAACTCTCAAAATGGGAGCTCCTGGGGAAGGTGCTCCATCAGCACCCTGTACAGCTCTTTACACCCACACAGGCTACTCGGCTACGGCTCTGAGAATACACCAATTTTGACAGTTTGCTCTGAACAGAAAAATCGGGCTTTTCCAAAGAAAAGGAAGGTGAAATATAACTTCCTCCTGAACCCTCCCCTGAGCTCTGAAACCCCTCAAGACCTACTGAGGCCATGACGAATCCCTACGAGACCCTGAAGAGCTTCCACTGCATTGAGTGGAAGCCTAACCACCTCTACTGCCCCTTAAAGGAACACCCTGAAAGGAACACCCAGGCTCCCATTCCACTGTGGTCAACGGCCAGGCGGGGGGACTGGGGGCTGTTGTGGACACTCGTTTTTGTCTGCCCAGCAGTCTTTCAATTGGTGACTGTGGGGTTCTGGTGGGGCTGCCTCTTCCAGTTCCCCATCACCCCAACTAGAGAACCTGTGACCTCGGTCTGGCTGGTTGTTGTGCCCCAGCCCCCAGACCAGGGATTGGCCCTGGAAGGAGCATAAGCCCCAAGCCAGACCCATCAGCAGCTTTCTCTAGAATGGAGCTATATATACACACATTTTTAAATAGGCAGTGGCTAAAAAAAAAGTCTCTTTCCTCCAGGGATATGAAAGGGGGATGATGTAAGCCGGGAACCATTTGTGCCTGCCCTACCCTGCAGCCGGAAGGAAACCCTTCTGCGAGAGCAGATAACCTGGCCACTGCAGACGAGAAAATAGCCTGGTGACATTTGAATTCTTCCAGTGCCTGATGTCAGTTTTACTCCTTAGACAGCCAGTTTTCCCAGTTACCATTCCTTTTTTTATTTTTATTAGGGTTGTCTTATTGTTTTACTATTTAAAAATATTTTTAATTACAGCTGACATACAGTATATTATTTTCAGGTGTACAACATAGTGATTAGACATTTATATAACTTATGAAGTGATCTAGTTAGATCTATCTAACCCTGATAGATCTAGTATTCATCTGACACCAGGCATAGTTATTACAATACTAGAGGCCCAGTGCACAAAAATTTGTGCACTTGGGAGGGTCCCTCAGCCCGGCCTGTGCCCTCTCACAGTCTGGGACCCCTCGGGGAATGACCACCTGCTGGCTTAGGCCCGTTCCCTGGGGGATTGGGCCTAAGCTGGCAGTCAGACATTCCTTTGGCAGCCCGGGAGCCCTCGGGGGATGTCCACTTGCAAGCAGGGAGCAGGCCTAGCTGCAGTTGGACATCCTTAGCACTGCTGAGGAGACAGGAGAGGCTCCCACCACCACCGCTATACTGGCAGCCGTCAGCCAGGCTTGTGGCTGAGCAGAGCTCCCCCTGTGGGAGCACACGGACCACCAGGGGGCAGGTCCTGCATTGAGCGTCTGCCCCCTGGTGGTCAGTGTGTGTCACAGTGACCAGTGATTCCCAGTTGCTCTGCTGTTAGGGTCAATTTGCATATTACCCTTTTATTATATAGGATAGAGGCCTGGTGCATGGGTGGGGGCCGGCTGGTTTGCGCTGAATTGTGTCCCGGGTCAGGGTGGGGGTTCCACTGTGGTGGCTGGCCAGCCTGGGTGAGGGGCTGAGGGCCATTTTCAGACTGGCCACACCCCCTTCAGGGTTGGGGGTCCCCACTGGGGTGCCTGGCCAGCCTGGGTGAGGGGCTGAGGGCCATTTTCAGGCTGGCCACACCCCCTTCAGGGAGGGTGGTCCTGCTGGGGTACCTGGCTAGCCTGGGTGAGGGGCTGATGGCTGTTTGCAGGCTGGCCAAGCCCCCCAGCGGGGACCCTTACCGATGAGGGTGTGGCCAGCCTGGGTGAGGGGCTGATGGCTGTTTGCAGGCTGGCTACAGCCCCTTCAGGGTGGGGTCACCCCTGGGGTGCCTGGCCAGCCTGGGTGAGGGGCTGATGGCTGTTTGCAGGCTAGCCACAGCCCCTTCAGGGTGGGGGGTCCCCACTGGGGTGCCTGGCCAGCCTGGGTGAGGGGCTGATGGCTGTTTGCAGGCTGGCCACAGCCCCTTCAGGGTGGGGGTCCCCGCTGGGGTACCTGGCCAGCCTGGGTGAGGGGCTGACTTTTTTCAGGCTGGCCAAGCCCCCCAGCAGGACCCTCACCCCATGAGGGTGTGGCCATCCTGGGTGAGGTGCTGATGGCTGTTTGCAGGCTGGCCACAGCCCCCAGCCACCCAAGCTCCCAGTGGAGGCTGGTTGGAAGCAGGTATCTGGGATTTATTTAGCTTCTATAATTGAAATTTTGTTGCCTTTTGCGGAGCCCACAGCCGGCCAGAGCAGGCGGGAAGCTTGGCTTCCTCCATTGCAGGAGCAATAAAGCCTCCTATTTGCTTCAGTTCCGTGGCTGCCGGCCGCCATCTTGGTTGGGTTAATTTGCATGTAGCCGCTCTAACTGGCTGGTGGGCGTGGCTTGGGCATAGCGAAGGTACAGTCAATTAGCATCTTTGTCTTTTATTAGCGTAGATTATTCACATCCCAGTCTACCATTTCTTTATTAAAAATCAAATAAAGTCGAATTGATATTTGGCAAACTGATATATGCTAATCAAAGGCAAGAATGCCAGTGTGCCCAAAACAAGCCCATTGGCTTGACCCCTCCCCACCCACACATGGCCACTTCCCCCAGCTTGGCCTTCCTTCTCCCAGCTTATAGTGAGGCAAGCATCAACACTCTGATGGGAGCGCCCAAGTTTTCACCATGTTCTTCAAATCATACCAACTTGTGGGTTTGCCCCTTCCCTACTAATCTGTGATGAGCTCAGTGAGGCCCCTAGCCTGACGCCTGACAGATGACCATCACTAGGGATGGAGGGATGAATGGATGGATGGATAGATGGAGGCTACTGACCCGACCCAGTGTTTCAAACCAGTGAAACCTTTTTTACTGCAAAGCT